AATTCAAACTAACTTATTTTCACATTTGTATTAGTCACGGAATATAAGTATTAGTCATACGTTCCGTTGTATTAGTCTAATATAGTTTCAACTTCCCTACTTTTGGGGAAATTTAATGTATTGTCAACTTTATTTTTTCACTTGTGCGCGTTTCGTCTAGCGTAAACACAAGTTACTTACCCACACATAGATTTAGTTCCTGCCTCATTTTTGAACGTCCACATTGTAGAGAACTATCGTTCTAGGTGTTATTATTCTAAGATTGCGAAGCAGTGTACTTTAAAGGATAATTATACATTGTAACTTCAGACTCAGAAAGACTAGAACCCAGAGCCGTAAAGCCAGTTATTAAAAATTGTGTTGACTTGACCGCATTTGTCACCACAGAACACTAATATCCTTAGACGTGTCACCGTCAACCAGTGTTGCCAGATGTACGATTTAAATCGCATTTATACGATTTTTTAAGAGTTATATGCATGTACGTGTACGACCAAAAGATAAAAATCGTACGCAATTCATACGACTTTTCACATTTTTTACCAATGCTTTATCGGAATCATACAGAAACAAAGTAAATACTTTGTTCCCTCTAATGAAAATTGTGCATCGGATTGTAAGTGAAGAAATAATGCAAAATGTGGGCGATGAGTGGAGAAGCTTACCCATGCTCTTTGTTACGTTGATATGACTCTCCCGACAGACGAATTTTGGACAAAAATATGTGCGCTAGATCACTTTCAGAATATAGCAAAATTTGCTCTCGATTTGCTATGCCTTCCTCACTCTAATGCGGATTGTGAACGGTGCTTTAGTTCATTAAATCTCATCAAAACGAAAATCCGAAATAGGCTCAGTATTGGGACAGTGAACGGCACGCTATTACCCAAACAACTTATAAAACGCCTTGGTTGTTGTGTTGATTTTTCTCCATCAAGAGAAATGTTAAATAATATGAACAGTAAAATTTTATATGGATATATAGACTCATAATTTTGTGTTTTCAATTCTCAATTTTTGTATAATTTAATAAAAGAAACGTACTATTTTTATTTAATTACGTTCTTAAGGAATACGACTTTCTGTTTACCCATCGTATGGATCATTCATTCAAAATGTCTGGCAGCACCACGGCCGCACACACAGAACACTAGAGAGTTTTGGCGGGAAATTGACCAGCGGCGGTTTGCTGCTCCTGTATTATTGTTTAAATAATGGTTTGAAGTGGACTTTGATATGTAAAAGTGTTGCGATTTTGTGTATTAAGTGTCTACGCATGTGAACTATTAGTGGAAACAGTGAAACAAGTGCTCTGATGGTGATGGATTCTCAAGATAAGCTGTTTGTTTGCATAGGCACCTTTAGATACCATCGCCAACTATCAGCTGTCTGCTGGATCAAGTTGCCGCCAAAATCTCCCAAGAACTGCACAATGTGACGCATCAACATATTGTGAAGCAGTATACTATGAAGGAGTGGGGAAATTACAATAAACCGAATAAAAATACTTAAGACTTGGCCTAAAGGTCTAGATACCAGGCAAAAAAAAACACAGAACACTAATACCCTCTGCCGTCAAGTGTCAATGTCAAATTTATATCAGGTTGTACCACTGAACATGCGAATGAATGTGATATTTTCATTAAATAAAAGCTAAAACGTAATAACATAAAATTATAAATTGATCAAAACTTCCGGGAAAGTGCTAAAGTTAGTTGAATAAAAAGTCCTACTGAATTGTAAATAATTCCATTTTTTGTATGTGAGGTTATGTTTACATCTTGAAATATTTTTTTGCGTAATTATTCTAAGTGTAGTTTATTTAACTAAATTAACAATAGTAATGTAAGTGCACTTTTTATTATAATTCCATAACGAAGTCATAGCTATTTAACGAATTTTTGCAATGGCGCATAAAAATTGGGGATTTTGTGATTTGTCACTTAGCAGAAACTGTGATGTGAGTAAACTGCATTTGTTGGAAAAGTTAGGTTATAATACAGTCGCAATAAACACATATGTCGAAGAAGCCAGTGAAGAGCCTAAAAAGAAAAAACGAAAAGGAGAAATAAAAGAGAAGAAAGATTTTATACCTGATCCTATTGAGATTCCTAAAGATATTGATAAAAGTAAATTAAATATTCTTCAAAGAGTTACAATAGAATTTTCAGAATCAAGCATTACCCATAAGTTTAATCAATCAGAAAATATTAAAAAATATGATTTAATAGCTGTAGTTCCTAAGACTTTGCAAGCATTTCAGTATGCATGTGGTACTTTGGATGTTGATATCATCAGTTTTGAACCTGAGAGCAGACCAACTTTCAAAGTCAGTCGTAAATTATACAATCAGGCAGTAGAGAGAGGTATTTTTTTTGAACTTATGTATTCACCAGCCATAAAAGATTCTTCTTCCAGAAAAAATATTATAAGTTTGGCACATACTTATCATGCAGTTGGCAAGTCAAGAAACATTATAATCACAAGTGGAGCCGATAATTGTATGTTCTTTAGAAGTGTTTATGATGTTATTAACCTCGGATTTATATTAGGTCTGAATAGCAATCAGAGTTTGGATGCAATCAAAAGTAATGCAAGACGACTCATAATTAAAGCAGAAGGAAGAAGATTTGGAAAACATTTTTTGATAGTTACACCTATAAATGAAGATATCAATAAAGAAAATGTAAAATATAATGGATTTTTTTTAATGCACTTATTTACACAATGGTCAGTTCATTTCATCATCATCATCATCATTACAACCCATTTCAATACCACTGCTTAAAATAGGCCTCTCCCAGGAATGCCACAATACACAGTCCTGAATCACTTGCTTCCAACTTTCTGAATCTCTTACCACTCCAGTAGTCTGTCCACCTAGTGAGGTTACCAGCATACACTTCTATGAGATTGCCACTAGAATCTTTCTGCCCCTTCAGCTGCTGGTTCATTTCCCCTTCAGCTTACTGTTCCATTGGGCTATGTCAATTACTGTGGTTTAACTGAAGAAACCTTCTATTCCAAATCAATCAGGCTAAAAAGCTTCAAGCATAGTCCATTCTATACCATGCTTATGCATGGTCTTACGGCCTGTTCAGAGGTTAGCATCACACATCTATAGCTACGACTGAGTGACAGTGTATACAAATAGAAAAGTTACAACATAAAGGTGTGAAGGAAAATATCAATTGTAAATTGAAAGGAAACTAGTTATTTGTTGGGAGCGAGGGTAGGTAACTAATAAGTGCTTAAACTACTCTGCTCCTACAAGCAGTACTGTGCAGTGCAGACAACTAGCTTAGGTCATTCTATAGGTCCCAATTATTGTCATTATTTTAGTACAAGGAAAGATGATGGGTGGTTTTGCTGTTGGTTAACATTGTCTTATCTTGCAGTTTCCTTTCAACAAATTATTTTAACTTCTAAAACTGTCTGTTTTCTTTCAATCTCATCATCCATATTGCCAGAGTTTACCAGCTTTAGTTATTAATATGGTCTCTGTAACTGCCATTCGTACCTCATTATCCCACTATATTGTATTATTATGCCTGTGAATAAGCATTATTACATTAAACTGCAATTGCAATCAATTATTTTTGATCTATGCTAAATAATTACTGATGAATTCATACTACTACTTCTTCTTTACTACTACCTACTTTATACTTATTATAGTTTTACAGTTATTTTGATAAATACTATAAATTAAATAATTACCAGGGTGTGAGTGTGAACCTCATGCTTTCCGAACCAAGAACTAGCATAATATCCTCCACAGATTTTTTTTTGTTCATGCACGAGTGTATGTGCAAGCACAAGTGCATTTTTTTATTCCTTCACTCAGTCCAATGAGTCTGTAATCCTACATGACTGGAGAGATCAGGCGCAGGACTCACGGCTTTAAATTCTTACGTAAAATACTGTCAAATTTCTGACTTTGAGGTGCTGAGCATTTCTTGACAGAAAATGCAATATCTGATTATAATTTTATATATTAACTTTATGGCCCAACCCAGTACTCAAACCCATAACTTCATGATCAGCGGCTGTGCTAAGTCGCATACTATATATATATATATATTTCCTCATCTTGCATTATCATTATACTCTCTAGTATCACGCTGCTTACAATGACTACAGCATGATTAGATCTGCTCAACCGGGGTAGGACCATGCTTACGTAGAACACAGTATAATGTTGCAATTGTTTTTATGGTGAGTTGCGAGAGTTGAAGACAATTTTGGACTGGTGAAAAGGCATTCTATCTTAGACCTCAGGATAACAACGAAGGAGTATTGCATGCTCAATTCTCACCTTTATTACTATAAAAAATTAGGTTGTGTAACAAGTAGTTATTGCCATTTCAATTAAATTAGTTTGTTAATTAAAGCTGTTTAATCACCAGTCTAAAGCGATTTAGCAACAAAGTACATGAATGCCTACTTCTTCAGTCGCTCTCTTCATTCATTCTTACCACTACCAAAAAAATCTTTCATATACGCGGGTTTCACTTTTAAATTATTATACATTTAAATTTTACATGGTGGTAGGGCTCCAAACTGACCCGAGTCCTGAAAGGTGTGCCACAACCTGTCAGCCTTCTTTGTTTAATATCGGTTCTAGGTGACTATGGACTGCAATAGCCACTTACCAATACGAGGACTAATGCTGTAAGCATGCTACTTCAAAATTGTATTTATTATACAAGGCATTCCTCTTCTGTAACTAAAATTTCTAACAATAGATAAATGTTAAAAGCTAAAACACTTAATATGTTTGTAAATGATGTATATGGGTGACAGCATTTTGTAAAGTTCTAAGTCAATCACAGGTTTTAATACTTATACAGTTCAAACATGGACGTATAAATACGTCCATGAGTTCAATAGCATTCGCAGAAATCTGTGCACGGGCCTTAGACTGTTGCTGCAGAAAATTGCTCATTTGTCCGCTTATACTAATCTATATCATCTTAATTGGACTGAAACGAAAATTTATGTAAAAATAAAAAACAAGTTCTTTAATTATTTGCATCAGACGAAGCAGGTACAATTATTAACAAAATAAAGTCCATCATTCGCGCAGGATATTTTTTAACAAACTTATCAATGCGACTCAAATAAGAATAGGTCAATGACTTCGAATGACGGTCACTAGAAAAGTACGGCTTGCAAAGAAAATTAATTTTCTACTTTTATATTTATTTAACAGATTAGATCATTATACTCTTTAGTATTACCAAATCTATTGAAGTAATATTTAGTTTTTAAATAATTTAAAGCTGTTTTTTTTATTTTAAATGTTGGCAACATTTGGGCAAAAAGCAGAGCCATCTTGTCGATGTCAGTATAATAATGATGCTTATGATGATGACGACGATGAGTACTCACAGTGATACAGAGACAAGCGGAATTAAAGTTCTAGATTCTGAGTAACTTTTTCTTTCATAGTTCTTTTGTATTTATTTATAAATAAATATTATTTAAAAAATATCTGATTTGCTCACCCTAGCTAATGGGTTTGAATTGACAGCAATGACGTCACAATATTGCGCCAAGTCAGTACTATTCTTATTTGAATCGCATTTATTGTTTACGATCATCGATCACTAATAAAAAACTAGATACACAATCTCATGCAAAAGTTCTCTGAAAACTGTCGCCAATTGTTTTGACGTAATTCTAGTTGAAATAAATATATCTTAATGTAAATTCAACCTTATGCATTGCCTAAAGTTGTATTCAAAAGCTACGTACAAATTAAAAGCGCACCCAAATGTTCGAGTGGGCGCTCATTCGTTAAGGACATTTTTTTGTCACTGTGCATCTAGTTTTTTTTTATTAGTGATCAATGTTTACGATATAATAATACAATACGACGATACAATAATATAAAATGTTTTATTTAAGTATGCATAAATTTGACATAATATATTAAACTCGTAATACGTCATCACGCTACCTGGAGGTGAATGTCCAAAAATGAACTGCCGTGAGTTGATAGTAATATCGATGTTTAATAATCTTCTATGTTATTCTTAGGTAAACAGGAACTTTTGAATTATTTTTTTAAAGGAACTAATTATACAAATATCACATAATATTAAAAAGGATGTTACCTTTACGTGTGACACCTCTAGACAATTTTACAATTAATTTACTACCTATCTTCTTCAAATGCAAAATGAGAATTAGAATGACGTTCTGAATTCAGTCTAGTTTCTTTTTCTGTAATAAATTAAAAGGTGAATGGGAATAAAATCGAAAATGGTGCAACATCATATAACTTTATTTTGTGGAAACATTCTCCAATACAAATACATCATTTTATCATGCCATACACTGCTGGGGCCAATCAAACCTGAGTTGTGTGAATTTTATTTTGGTATACTGGCTGATCAAAATTACAATAAAAAAACTGCGGTTGCCAACCCGCTCGCCAAGCGTGGCAACTATGGCAAATACCCCCCTATGAATGTAACAAAGAGACGGCCCCCAGTCCCCGGCGGCCCCGCTATTCCTGGCTACGGTGGCGACCATGGTAACGGCGGGGCATGGGGTGCTAAGAAACTCCGGTGGAGGTTCGGTTGCCACCTTAGACGACTCGACCTGGCAACGTACAACACACGCACCCTGAGGACTGACGAGAAGATCGTGGAGCTGGAAGAAGAGATAGACAAGTTGCGCTGGCATATTATAGGATTATCCGAAGTCCGAAGAGAGGGGGAGGACACGGTAATCCTCGAATCCGGCAACTTGCTCTATCACCGGGAGGGCGACCATCTGTCCCAAGGAGGTGTCGGATTTATCGTCCACAAGTCTCTCGTTAACAACGTTGTAAAGATCGGGAGTGTGTCGACGAGGGTTGCGTACCTTATACTCAGAATCACCAAACGGTATTCGCTGAAGGTCATACAGGTTTACGCACCAACCTCGGCACACCCCGATGAGGAGGTGGAGGAAATGTATGAGGATATCTCTAGAGCCATGCATTCCTCCAAAACCCAATATACGGTGTTAATGGGAGACTTCAATGCAAAACTAGGCACAAGAGAGAACGGTGAGCTGAAAGTAGGGAAATTTGGAATAGGGCAACGGAACCCAAGGGGCCAGCAGCTGGCCGACTTCATGGAGAAAGAGGGACTCTTCATGATGAACTCTTTCTTCCAGAAGCGGCCCCACAGGAAGTGGACCTGGTCGAGCCCCGACGGTTCGACAAAAAATGAGATTGACTTCATTATGACGACCAGACGACAACTGTTCAGTGATGTCTCCGTGATCGCGAGGGTGAAAACTGGTAGCGAGCACCGAATGGTTAGAGGCACACTGAACCTAAACGTTAAGTTGGAGAGGTCTCGTCTAATGAAGTCAACGCTCCGTCCCCCTCGTGCTCTGTTCCAAAGTCCTGAAACCTTTCAGCTCGAGTTACAAAACCGTTTTCAGTGTCTAGAAGACTGCAATGAAGTGGACGATATGAATGACAAGCTCGTGGAAACTGTCCATGCGGTCGGAGCTAAGTTCTGCAAGACCCGCCGCAGAAGAACACAAAAACTCTCCGATCACACTCTTAATCTCATGGCTGTTAGACGGGAGATGAAGCTACATTCTTCAACAGACTTGACAGCATACATGCATCTGAACAGACAGATCTCCAAATGCATGCGGCGGGACTTACGCAAGTTCAATACAGCTCGTATTGAAGAAGCGATCGAGCGGAACCAAGGCTCCAAAGTCTTTGCCGGAGATCTGTCTGCCAGAAAGAGCCAACTGTCAAAGCTGAAGACAGAGTGTGGCAGCATCGTTTCCAGGACACCTGAGATTTTGAGTGAGATTGAGAGGTTCTATGGGCAGCTGTACACGTATCGTTGGAGCCACACGCAAGTGTGAGTAACGATCCAAGAGCGAGTCTCATCCGACACTATTCCGAAGATATCCCGGACGTCAGTCTGAGCGAGATTAGAATGGCTCTCCAGCACCTTAAAAACGGTAAGGCCCCAGGCGAAGATGGAATTACAGCGGAGCTTCTGAAAGCGGGTGGAAGACCGGTACTTGAAGTCCTTCAGAAGCTCTTTAATTCCGTCCTCCATGGTGGCATTACACCGGAGGCGTGGAGCAGAAGTGCGGTGGTCTTGTTCTTCAAGAAAGGTGACAACGCTCTCTTGAAGAACTACAGACCGATTTCCCTTCTGAGCCGCGTCTACGTGCTGTTTTCGAGTCATTACGAATCGTCTCGCGCGCAGACTTGACGACTTCCAGCCTCCCGAACAAGCCGGTTTCCGAAAAGGCTTTAGCACCATAGACCACATACATACCCTTCGGCAAATTGTACAGAATTCCGAGGAGTACAATTTGCCACTATGTCTGGCGTATGTGGACTATGAGAAAGCCTTTGATTCCGTCGAAATTTGGGCGGTGCTGCAGTCCCTTCAGCGATGCCAAGTTGACTGTCGGTATATCGAAGTGTTGAAGTTCTTGTACAGTAGGGCTACGATGGCTATCCGAGTACAGAACCAGAGTACGAAACCTATCCAATTGCAGAGAGGTGTAAGACAGGGTGACGTCATATCCCCGAAACTCTTCACCGCTGCATTGGAAGATGTTTTCAAGCTTCTGGACTGAAAAGGATACGGTATCAACATCAATGGCGAGTACATCACTCACCTTCGATTTGCCGACGATATAGTCCTTATGGCAGAATCGCTGGAGGACCTAAGCACTATGCTCAATGACCTCAATAGTGTTTCCCAACGGATAGGTCTTAAGATGAACATGGACAAAACAAAGATCATGTTTAATGTCCATGTCACACCTATGCCGGTAGTTGTTGGGAGCACTAAGCTCGAAGTTGTTGACGAGTATGTTTACCTGGGACAAATAGTCCGACTAGGTAAGTCCAACTTCGACCGAGAGGTCAATCGACGGATTCAACTCGGCTGGGCAGCGTTCGGGAAGCTACGACACATCTTCTCGTCAGACATACCTCAAAACCTGAAAACGAAATTGTACAACCAGTGCGTGTTGCCAGTGATGACTTACGGAACTGAGACGTGGTCCTTCACTGCTGGCCGTATGAGGAAGCTCAAGGTCGCTCAGCGAGCTATGGAGAGGGCTATGCTCGGAGTTTCTCTGCGTGATAAACTTAGGAATGAGGATATCCGCAGTAGAACCAGAGTAACCGACGTAGCCCAACGGATTAGTAAGCTGAAGTGGCAGTGGGCCGGCCATATAGCTCGAAGAACCGACAACCGATGGGGAAGAAAGGTTCTCGAGTGGCAGCCTCGTACCGGTAGGCGAAGTGTAGGGCGTCCCCCCCACGAGATGGAGTGACGACCTGGAAAGACATGCAGGAAGTCGATGGATGCAGGTGGCTCAGGACCGTGCTTTGTGGCATTCTTTGGGGGAGGCCTATGTTCAGCAGTGGACTTGTGAAGGGCTGTAATGATGATGATACTGGCTGATAATTTGTTGTTGGATTTTTCGTGAAAATAGTTTAATGCGACTTTCCCACAGATATGAATCCATAATTTTTCTTATTTTCTCAAATTAGCAAATTTCAACTATTATGTTCCAAATACTTTCTTTTATTAATATTTTATATTACTTCCAATGTTAACCCCATTTCATATTAGCCAGTAAGATCATGATCATACTCTGTGCCCGTCGCAATGCAAAACGAATGGTCAGCTCAACCGTCCTTCAAAACATGTTATTCTTATCGTACGGACGCAGTAATCTGTTTTTGCTCTACCCTCGTTTGAACTTGTGAATTTCTTTTTGCCCTATTTTATTTCATTAGTTTCTTATAACGAGTGTGGATTTTTATATATATACTTAGCCGGGTCATAAGTTCTGTCAAAACCTTATTGTTTAAAATTTTTGAATACTGGCTAGATGAACTTCACCAATTTTAAAAATATAACGTCTGCGCTTGCCGAAAATTAAAAAAACATTAATTTTCATTCATTTTCAAATATGGAATGGTCGAAGAAAGAAGACAGAGTAGCGGTTATCGCGTTGCACCGCTGTGGTTACGCGCCAAAAGAGATTTTCAAAATTCTACAAAAATAAGCTCATAGGGCACGAAGCACGCAAAACTGCTTGACCGCCAATGAAATTGACTTTATCGGACATGAAGACTGGCCCTCTTCTAGTCCAGATTTAAACCCACTGGATTACAAGATATGGCAACATTTGGAGGAGAAAGTCTACGCTAAAGCAGCGGCAGAAATAGATATGAATGTGGTGCGTGCTGCGATTGATGATTGGCCGCGTCGAATAAGGGCAATATAATTTTGAATAATGTATTCAAAATAGGGGAGGGCATTTTGAATAATATAAATAAAATTGTATTCTAAATAAATTAAGTTACCTTTCATTTCATATATAATTTCTATATAATTATCAAAAAGTGTATCATTAATTTTATAAAAAAAATTTGAAGGAATTTATGACCTAAGTATATATTTTCAACAGGTTGTTTTCTTTGAGAAATGTAATTTTTATAAATTTGATTAATACTGAGTAAAAATATTCAAGTAAAACGTGCAAATAATGTATAATAATATCAAAAAATGTGCATTTTTATTCAGCTTTCACGCGTTCTTCACTTTTCTGAATTGGTTCCGCCTTATCGATCCTTATTGTTCTCTCCATGGATAGTCGGGGAGTGACAGGCGCAACTGTAGGTACAGCATTGACTTCTTCCGGCAACGTTAGTAAATCAGCAATCCATTTAAACCTAAATGTAAAAGACATATATAGAGAAGTTTCTTAATCAAACACATGAGCAGTACTTCACCGACGACAGATCCTGCAGACTCTTGCAGTGCTAGAAACGTAGAACGTAGTACAAACGTCCTAGTACAATCTTATTGCTTTGTGTCCTTTTGTCAATTGATTGCAAATAGTCCAAGAGTAAGTAATGAACATTTCAAAATATTTAAAAAAAAAACTATAATTTCTCCGTAAATTGTGACGAAATGCACACGCAGCGCACTAGCACTCCAAATGCCATTACTGGTTACCGTTTGCCGTCACTTTCGTACGACGGCAGCAGTCCGATGACAGTTCATATAGGACTGTCATCGGAGTGCCGCTCTTTTGTATGAACTCTAAACCAAACGAGACTGAATATGTTACAAGTTGATAACGTCTCGAATCTTTTATATTATCCGTAATGTTGTGATGAAGATTAGTATGGGCAGTGGTAAAGCGGTATAGAATTTTGTTATAACAATTTCAGACCAATAAAAAAAGTAAACGGAAAGCTGTGGCCATTTAAAGTGATGCTAAATACCATGCACAACTTCTTCACATGCACTTACTCACATATCTTTTATTTTCTCTTTCTTTATGAGCCCGTAAAAGTTCACAACAAATCATTAACAAGATCATTAACACCCAACAAAAGTTAGTGTTGGGTCTTAATCATCTGAGACATATTATGTGTGCTTACAATAACTTGAGCATGGTTTTGGCTGGGTTTTATTAGTTTGCTTTAGTATTATGTATTATTGTATTCAGTATATTTAATATTTTTCAGAAACGAAGGTAGGTTACCTACTCAAAAAAATTTAAATAATTTTAGCATTGCGGATACTTCCTTGCTCTCTCAGGAATGAGAGGGCGCATGTGCCCAGTGGTGGAACATGTATAGGCTGTAGCTTTTCGAAATAACAAATTGCTCCATCAACTCTTGTCTACTTCGAAGTCAAAAGGTATGTTTGTGTAAGTTACAATAGTATTTTTGTTTTAAGATAAGTCCGCCCAGTTCTAGATATTTCACTATATTATTATCCTGTTATAGTATTATATGAGGGGAAATAAAAGAAAAACGTTAATTTCAATACATATTATTTTGAAATGCCATCTCAACTTTTGGTACATAATAATACAAAATGTAAAAAAAATTCACACACACACTATAATACATTATGACAAAACTCAAAGATTCACGCAGTGCTTTAACAAACAACGGCCTAATATTTATCTGCACTAAGTACCATAGAATCAATTATTTATTCTATAAAATATGTAGTTCTATATTGTTAGCACCACAGGTGTTTACTTTATAGTCGTATTCTGGTATAATTTTAGCACCAAAATAAGTTCCATCAGTGCATTTGTTACGAAAAAATTAACTTATTCAATTTCAAAATCAATACACGGTGATTCATTTAATTTTAATGAAGATCATAAACAGCACATCAAAGAGAACTTACTTTAGTGTTAAAACTGTATCAGTGTAATAATTATAATTTAATGCAATTATTATAAATAGGTATATTGTGATAGTTATTTCTTTATAAATGCTTTAAAATTATTACGAATTTTTTAAAGTTAAATTCGTAAAATTATAATTGGACACAATTTATTCCGTTTTAAAATTACATAATGATATTGTTCTATTTTTAAATGGTTTAGACAAATACTCTTAAACAGTTGGCAGAGAGGAAGTAAATTCATAATTTATATATTAAAATTAAATTACATAACATTAAATTCAATACAAACTGCTATATCTTATGTAAGTTGTTTAAATGGTATTATACTTTATTTCTCTTCAATTAAGTTTAATATCACTATTGATCAAAAACTATGCCAAGCTTACTGTCGCCACAACTGCACAGCTTTATACAGAAAGACTTGATGAAACTTTAAAAACCTTTTAAAGACGTTTTAATTCTAATGCTATAATTTATTTTTAAATTCAAAACTTTGTCCAAAAATAAGTAAATTAAGATGGTAACGTAAAATATTAAATTGCTATATGTGTCTTTGAAATATTCTTCTTTTTTTCATTCACAAACTAAATATACAATATTTTCAAAAAAACGGTGGCATACTACCTCAACTATAAATTGAAGCCAATAATTTGTGCTCAATGAGAAAAAATTACTACCTACTATGTTCATTTATAACACACGCAAAATTATACGAAAACAAATCCGCTGAAATAGTCAAATGAATAAAATAGGAGCTAGATAAATAGAAAAAATTTCAAATATTTTTATATGGCAGCTCTATCCAATTATACTGGAGATATCTTAAAATTATTAGTTATAATAAATAAAACATGGCGCGCACGTAAATAAATAATGTATGAAAACAGCTGCAACTGTGTGTGTTAGTAATGAGTCATTACAAATGACAGATGACGCATATGATTTGAAAAAGTTGTTTTTAATACTAGGTCATACAAACTTGCACCTACAACAACCATAGATTCGACTAGAAAATTTTAACAACATTATAGCCTCAAATTGGAATAACTAAGTTAAATCAGGCAAGAATCTATCTTTGTTGTAGGTTTGGCTGACATATTGAGCAAAAGGATAAAACAATAAATGAAATTACAATTTAAAGCAGTCTTCATATGTCTTTTTCGAAAATTAAAGTAACATAACCTTAGCTTAGTACATGAGATTATTTACTATATGCAAGATTGAATTTACTAAATTACATTAAACAATTCATGGCAATATTTTAATATTAATAATCTAGTAATCATTAAAATAAAATCATTATATTTTGATATAAAACATTCAATTACAAATCATTCACATGTAAAATAAATAATCTCCCAATCATAAAAAATAACCATACCTAGTTAACAAATTCAGTCTCATTGGTTTAAATACAATCATAATAAGTTATTCACATACGTTTCTTTCCTCAAAAACTTACTGACAATATAATATTTGGATATTACAAAATTATATTGGAAAAAAAGGGAAAAATTTTAATAATTATTATTTTTATTCATGTTTTTATATTTCATTAATAATTTTTACTATTTTTATATAGCTTTATCTATTTTAAAAATGAATATATCATTCAACCATTTTCATAGCAACATCAGCTTTTGTTCAAAATTATTTTGGACAAAAACCACGCAGACAATACGACTTACATTAAATATGTCTCTCGTCTATCCTTAGAACAAAAATACCTAGGAGTATCATAATACCAGTTGATAACTTCTTTACAGATTCATGTCGTTTAATATTAAATTCATGCAAGTATATATAATATCAATTGGCAACGATATCTTTACTTCTGATTATGTGTGTCTTCTATCATGATAAAATGGAGCACATACTTCATTTTCATCTAAATATACTAGTTTTGTTTAAAATTTTAATCTATGTTCCTAGTTACTCATTCGGAACTTTATATTTTCCAAATTATTATGTAGATATATTTATTTTATTTTATGTTTAACTCAATGTGTGATAAGAGAAATATTTGTTAAGATTGTTAGTTTGTTATAACAAACTAAATTTTGCAATATTTAAATAGGTTTTTTTTTTTCTAGTATTAGCACCGATGCAAATAATTCGGTAACTATGATATTAGTTCAACTGCAATTCTTAATTTTAACTACAATTAATTGTTCATCAGAATGGTTTTGTTATCTTCAAACGAATCCTTTGCTTTGCGCTATTTAAAACGCGCCAAATTCGAGTCAAAGTACGTCGGCAATCCGAACCGTTTTGCTCGACAGCAGGTTCCGCGTGCGTCAGTTGTTGAGGAAAGAGACGCAATGTGCCACCGTGTTGACATTTTCCACCAACCTGTTGTACAACTCTCGTCGCACGCTGGCAGTGAACTTGCTCACGAGGCAGAGCGTCACTGTTGCGGCGAAGATCGCGTTGTAGAGCAACACTAGTTTGAAGTTACCCAACCACTCTATACGGCCGAATTCGCCCAGCAAATCGAAGTTTGTAATGCCTGGAACGATTAAAATTGAATTAATTACTAAATTGGAATAAAGTCTAGCGTGGTTAAAAGTTATTTGAGCGGGAGAAGCGTTTGTACGAGGGCTGATCCAAAAGTAATGATAATGAAAATAAAACACGGTAATTAAAGTTAAAATAATAATTTATTTTTCTACATAGTCTCCTAACAAATCAATACATTTAGTCCATCTTTTTTCTAAACCCAGGATTCCCTTTGAAAAAAATTCTTTGTCTTGACCCTCCCAAAACGCTTCAACAGCGGCCATTACTTTGCTATCGTCTTCGAATTTCTTGCCTCGGAGGCGTTCCTTGAGCCGAGGAAAGAGGTAGAAATCACTAGGAGCTAGGTCTGGCGAATAGGGAGGGTGTTCGAGCAGTTCGAATCCCGTTTCTTGAATGGCAGCCATCGCAACTGCGGCTTTGTGAGCCAGTGCGTTGTCTTAGTGAAACAGCACTCCAGCTCGCAGTTTGCCGCGTCTTTTTTCCTTAATGGCCTCCCGTAATCTTCTTATTTGGTCTGCGTAGTAAGACCCCGTAATAGTGGCTCCCTTTTCCAAATATTCCACCATAATTATGCCTTGAGCGTCCCAAAAAACAGATGCCATAACCTTTCCCGCCGAACTTGAAACTTTGAATTTCTTTGGCGTCGGTGAGGAGGCTCGCTTCCAAGTCATCGATTGTTGTTTCGTTTCAGGATCAAAATGGTGATCCAGGTCTCGTCCATAGTCACAAAACAGAACAAAATTTTTTTTTGATTTGCTTGGAACTTTTCGAGATTGACCCTCGAAATGTCTACTCGATTTTTCTATTGCTCGTCGGTTAACATTCTGGGTACCCAACGCGCAGAGACCTTTTTCATATGCAACCCGTTCGCAAGTATTCTTTGAACGCTGCCATATGAGATCCCTGTGACCTCAGCTACATGCCTGATGGTCACTCTTCGATCTGCCAACACAACATCTTCGACTTTTTTCACGTTGTCTTCAGTGAGGGAAGTGGATGGGCGTCCTTCGCATTGTTCATCTTCAGTGGATGTTCTGCCCAGTTTAAACTCCTTGGCCCAGCGTGCAACTGTAGAATATGGAGGAGCAGAGTCCCCCAATGTTTCCACTAAGTCACTGTGTATGTCTTTTGAAGACATTTTTTTCAAACAGAGGTACTTGATGACAGCTCTAATTTCGTTTTTCTCCATGTTGATGTTATCTCTTTGACTGTTCGTATTCAAATGAATGTATCTCCCGGAAATCGTGATCTATTTATAAGATTTTTTTTAGGCTGACGTAGTGAGTATATAAGCAAGCAAAAAAAATTTTTTTTGGATTTTTATGCGGACCTGAAGTAACCGATTATCATTACTTTTGGATCACCCCTCGTATATACCTACCCTGATAATGCCGAGAGGTGAAACCACGAAGCAAATACAAAGAGGAGATGACATAAGCAACTGTGCACTGTGATTCTAACTAGGTCCTAACATCATCATAGTGGGCGTGGCTTTACTTAGTATACTGTCAGCGTTCGTCCTGTGCACTTATGTGTCGAATATCGCAGATCGGTGTATTTTCGTAGTATTAAGAAGAAAAGGATGAAATGTTGTGTTTCATCGTGTAAAAACTACTCAGATAAGACGCTCTGATTCTATGGACGGCATCACATTTCATATGTAAGTAATTTCAAACCTAATTTATTAAAAAGGTTGTAGAAAAATTTATGCGTCGGCCTTCAAGTGTAATTAAATATATTCGACAGTAGATGGCGACACTTTGTGTCATGGGAACTAAAAATATAAACTTACGTAGAGCTCAGTATTAGTAAAATAATCATACGAAGGTGTTGAAATTTGTTTTTCATTCAGTCTAAAGAATCGCCAAAATATTATTTTTATACTTTTTATAATCATTTTGTTAACAAGCTGCCATCTATCGTCAAGGTAGCTAAACTACATTGCAACATATAAATAAACATCGATATGGTACGATTCGAATAGTTTTACTATTTAGCGGTAGATGGAAAAGAGTAAAGTGGGCGGAGCTTAACATTTTTCTTAACTCCTCACCCCGCAAATTGTCACGCGTTGTTACATAGTGAAATCTAATTAAAACACCTCTTTGTATTTGCTCTGTGGGCGAAACCGGTAATTTTTATAGTCAATAAATTAATAATTTTAAATAAATATTGTAAAACAAGTGTATATATCGAAATCACGAAAATGAAGAATGAATGACCAACTGACAACCATCTCAAGTATAATTATTATATGATTAAAGAAGAAACCTAACAAGTAAGAAAATAAGCTAATGCTAATCATAATTTTCTAGATGTCCTCCATTGTTGTCTAGATTAAGGGTATAATTTTTCTAAAGGGTGAAGGCAACATTAAATTTGCGATAACATATATATAAGGAAAATGAAATTTGTAAGTAAGTAAATATTTTGCACGATTTAAAAAAAAAATAGCATAATTTTGTAATATAGCTGTGATAATGAGTGTTGTATTTATTAAATTGAATAAATGATATTTTAATATTAAAAGCATTTTTAAACGCAAATCTGTTGTTCAAACCGGATTTAGAGCAGTCAAATTGTGTTTGCAAAAAAAGATTACCCCTACTGTATTCTTCATGCGCGTTGTTAATATTTGTAATTATAAAAAAATCATTCCAGTGCCAGTCCTGCGTTTACGGGTATATAAAAAATTTTATTTTTCGATCGACGATAACACTATGTAAAATATAACCTATGTACAAGTTGCATACGACGGTGTAGTTGTATGAATACGAGGATGACACTGAAACTTCTTAGAAACTCAAAAATTGAACAAACTAGCAAGTTATTAGCTTTATTATATTTTTTCAAAATAGTGTCCATTTACATCAATACATCGCTGCATCCGATGGAATCACTGAGAAAAGCACTTTGCCCACTCGTCCTTAGGGGTCTCTTCGACCGCATTTTTGAAACGCTGCCACTGCTTCCTCGGCGTCCATAAAACGTTTTCTTCGAAGTTTTTCTTTTATTTTCGAAAATAAATAAAATAGCAAGGTGCGAGGTCGGAGCTATAGGGCGGGTGACTCAGTAATTCCACGTCTGTTTGCTTGGCGGTGTGCGACGAGGCGTTGTCGTGGTGAAGGAGGATCCTACTGCGAGGTCGTTTCTCCCGAACTTTATCCAAGACAAGTGGCAAACAATTGTTAGTGTACCACTCTGCAGTAATTGTTTTTCGATCCTCTAAAACAATTGTTGCATAATGATCTGTCGCTCCGAAGAACGAGGCCACCATCTTTTTTCCCACGCTTCGACTTCTATTCACTTTAGTTGGCAACTCCTCGGAAAGAAACACTCAGAAAGCAGACTGTCTCTTATTTTCAGGATCATAACAATAAATCCAGCTTTCGTCACCTGTAAGTATGTCGAACACAGCATTTAAGTCACTTCCATTAAATCTTTGAACCATTCTTTGAACCACCAACACGATGGAGTTTTTGGGTCTCTGTCAAATTATGAGGATTTTGTACACTTGACTCATACCGATGCCTAAGCTAGTTCGAATCTGCTGATAAGTCACTCTTTTGTCAGTCTCTATCATACGCCGCACAACACTGATGCTATCTTCAGTCGTCGCCGTAGAAGGCCATCCCTCACGCAAATCATTGGTGAGATTAGTGCGACCACGTTTAAACTCATTAAACCAGTTGTAAACAGTGGCACGACATGGGGCTTCATCGTGAAAGGCCAATCGAAGTCTATCATAACTTTCTTGTTGACTTAAATAACATCGAATCTCATAAAAAATAATTGTAAGAAAATTTTCTCGCGTTAGATTCATGCAGACGTGACACAGACAATTTTCAATTTGCCGCCAAACAAAAGACAAATTGATAAAATACATACACAATAATATAGCCAGAGTTCCATTTTCAAAATTTGAACTTATTTTTTTATTATATCGTTTACAAGTGGCCAGTTCTAAAAACTTTTAGTGTCGCCCTCGTATCCACTATCTCCATATCGTTCCGTGGGTGTCGTAAGAGGCGACAGAGGGAAACAAATCAGATGGGCAGCAGCGTTTTCTTAAGAACAATTAAAAATAAGAAACTGCGGTTGCCAACCCTCGATTCTATATTATATGGGGGAGGCTTATGTTCAGCGGACTTTAGATAGGTTGCAAGCGATAAAGGATGCATTGAATAGGTATATATGCGCGTCAGGTATGGTGACTGCCTCGTTAGTCAGTGCCTCGGTAGTCAGTGCGACTGCTAATCATGAGGTCTCGAGTTCGAATACCGGGTCGGCCTAAAAATATCAGTTATTTAAAATTCTCAGTAGCTGCCAGGAGTGAGGAAGTTGGCGGTGTCTCACCCCCGTGCCTCGGAAAGCACGTAAAGCCGTAGATCCTGCGCATGATCTCTCTTTGGTCGTGTTAGTTTACCGTCCCATCGGACTATGAGAGTGAGGGAATAGAGAGTGTACTTTTTTACAAATTATATACGGCTCAAGTTGGGTGCAGGCAATCCTTTTATTTCTGTGAGGGTTACGGAGCAATTTTCCAGCTCATTAAACCGGTGCATGTGGGCAGACTTCATGTGTTATGTTCATGTGTAACGCACCTAGTATCTTGACGAGCAGCGGCTGCGCGGTGGAGTGCGCGAGCAGCAGCGCGCACAGCGCTATCATTGTGTTCGTGTGTAACGCACCTAGTATCTTGACGAGCAGCGGCTGCGCGGTGGAGTGCGCGAGCAGCAGCGCGCACAGCGCTATCATTGTGTTCGTGTGTAACGCACCTAGTATCTTGACGAGCAGCGGCTGCGCGGTGGAGTGCGCGAGCAGCAGCGCGCACAGCGCTATCATTGTGTTCGTGTGTAACGCACCTAGTATCTTGACGAGCAGCGGCTGCGCGGTGGAGTGCGCGAGCAGCAGCGCGCACAGCGCTATCATTGTGTTCGTGTGTAACGCACCTAGTATCTTGACGAGCAGCGGCTGCGCGGTGGAGTGCGCGAGCAGCAGCGCGCACAGCGCTATCATTGTGTTCGTGTGTAACGCACCTAGTATCTTGACGAGCAGCGGCTGCGCGGTGGAGTGCGCGAGCAGCAGCGCGCACAGCGCTATCATTGTGTTCGTGTGTAACGCACCTAGTATCTTGACGAGCAGCGGCTGCGCGGTGGAGTGCGCGAGCAGCAGCGCGCACAGCGCTATCATTGTGTTCGTGTGTAACGCACCTAGTATCTTGACGAGCAGCGGCTGCGCGGTGGAGTGCGCGAGCAGCAGCGCGCACAGCGCTATCATTGTGTTCGTGTGTAACGCACCTAGTATCTTGACGAGCAGCGGCTGCGCGGTGGAGTGCGCGAGCAGCAGCGCGCACAGCGCTATCATTGTGTTCGTGTGTAACGCACCTAGTATCTTGACGAGCAGCGGCTGCGCGGTGGAGTGCGCGAGCAGCAGCGCGCACAGCGCTATCATTGTGTTCGTGTGTAACGCACCTAGTATCTTGACGAGCAGCGGCTGCGCGGTGGAGTGCGCGAGCAGCAGCGCGCACAGCGCTATCATTGTGTTCGTGTGTAACGCACCTAGTATCTTGACGAGCAGCGGCTGCGCGGTGGAGTGCGCGAGCAGCAGCGCGCACAGCGCTATCATTGTGTTCGTGTGTAACGCACCTAGTATCTTGACGAGCAGCGGCTGCGCGGTGGAGTGCGCGAGCAGCAGCGCGCACAGCGCTATCATTGTGTTCGTGTGTAACGCACCTAGTATCTTGACGAGCAGCGGCTGCGCGGTGGAGTGCGCGAGCAGCAGCGCGCACAGCGCTATCATTGTGTTCGTGTGTAACGCACCTAGTATCTTGACGAGCAGCGGCTGCGCGGTGGAGTGCGCGAGCAGCAGCGCGCACAGCGCTATCATTGTGTTCGTGTGTAACGCACCTAGTATCTTGACGAGCAGCGGCTGCGCGGTGGAGTGCGCGAGCAGCAGCGCGCACAGCGCTATCATTGTGTTCGTGTGTAACGCACCTAGTATCTTGACGAGCAGCGGCTGCGCGGTGGAGTGCGCGAGCAGCAGCGCGCACAGCGCTATCATTGTGTTCGTGTGTAACGCACCTAGTATCTTGACGAGCAGCGGCTGCGCGGTGGAGTGCGCGAGCAGCAGCGCGCACAGCGCTATCATTGTGTTCGTGTGTAACGCACCTAGTATCTTGACGAGCAGCGGCTGCGCGGTGGAGTGCGCGAGCAGCAGCGCGCACAGCGCTATCATTGTGTTCGTGTGTAACGCACCTAGTATCTTGACGAGCAGCGGCTGCGCGGTGGAGTGCGCGAGCAGCAGCGCGCACAGCGCTATCATTGTGTTCGTGTGTAACGCACCTAGTATCTTGACGAGCAGCGGCTGCGCGGTGGAGTGCGCGAGCAGCAGCGCGCACAGCGCTATCATTGTGTTCGTGTGTAACGCACCTAGTATCTTGACGAGCAGCGGCTGCGCGGTGGAGTGCGCGAGCAGCAGCGCGCACAGCGCTATGATCCTGGCGAGCGGGGTGCGCTGCGCGCGCGGCAGCAGGCGCAGCGCTCGCATCGGCGCGCTCAGCCCCGTCAGCGACGCCGCGTGCAGGTACAGGATCAGGAACGCCTCCAGAGTCGCACCCGCCCAGCCGAGCTTCGACAGTGACGCTATGCCCAGTGTAAATTGCTACAAGAGAAAATTAATCAAAAATTAATAATCAGTATTTTCCTATTACTTTTGAAAGCACGTTTATTAACACGCCTCTATTAGCTTCGCGTGTATCTATCTACCATTCAATTTATCTATGTAACAATATCTTTTAATGTAATTTTCAATAACTTGTAGACGGTTGAATGAAATTTAAAATTAAGGTCCGATGACAATTCAATAATTTAATAACTTTATTCCTAGTATTCTGATTAGAGTCACCAGGATAAAATAAGATTTATCTATAACGTATTTCTTTAGTAAATTTATTGAATAAAACTACTTTTACGGATTTTATTATTATTTATTAAAAATTTATATAAGTATGTACTGTAAAAGATTACAGGAGAAAAAATCACATTCTCACAACTTAAACATATCGTCGGTCTAAAGTGTAAAATTGCTTAATCAATTTTTTATCGTTATTACGTTTTGCCTATCATTGAAAAGAGAAAACAACATACGTAATCTAGAAAAAACAGCTACTGTCAATTTTAATTCAAAATTATAAGAAATGGTCGTGTATTTTTAGGTTTAATGTTTAAAAATATGATTAAAAAAGACATGATCAAATAACTTAGATAAAAATAGATATTTACCCGTGTGCTAAGCGGCAAAGCTTTGATGCCAATAAGCAGTTCCAGGGTGTTCTGTAGCACCATAAGCACCGTGATTGTAGTGAGCGCAAGCAGCAGTAACATCGCCAGGGGATAAACTACATTGCGCTGAAAGGACGACGTTTTACGCTGGTCCTCTACTTCCTGAGGATAAATAAATTAACAATTTTTTACGTGGTAGATCCATGCTGCAGCTATAATAGTAGTACGAATGGGTCGGCTCGACCGAGGAAGGACCACAGAATACCATAGTAAAATAGCAGCTTAGCAGTGTTTCGTATGGTGAGTGTAGAGAACCGAAGACCATTTTTACTGGAAACGAGGCATTCCATCTTAGTCCTCACGGGTAACAACTCATCTGCATTTTGATTCTTTATTGAAGATAGATGTGGATGTCTATGGGTCGCAGCAACCACTTACCATCAGGTGGACTGTGCGCTCGTTTGTCACCCTTATTCTATAAAAAAAAATCAAGACTACTCCATAGACCGTGCCGTTACTGATTTATATTTTTATCAGAATTCGTTAAAATTTGAGTTTAAGTACAGAGACTAACAATTCATAAATTTCCGCCGCCGAGATTTATAATATGAAATTTCATTAAAATTGTAAAAGTGCATCTACAATAATAAATTTTTCAATTTAGTAGTGTAGTCTTATTTACCTATTAAATCCAATGTAATAGGTAAAAACCTAATTTAAAAAAATACGGTTGAGCCTACAGGCCATCCCTGGAACTTCCCGCTTATTTCAAATGCAAAGCGCTCCAAATTATTTTTTTTGTTTTTTAATTTCATTTTTTTGAAAATTTTATTTTTGAGATTTCTCAAATTCTACCGGACTGAATCGGTTTAAATCGTATAGAAAATCTAAGTTTGGTGCAGCCCTTTCGAACGCCGAGTTCGTTCAAATCTGTCAAGCCATTCAAAAGTTATGAGAGGGTCACATACATCCACACACGCACATACATACATACATACATACATGGTAACATCCTCGTAGGAGTAGTCAGAATAGCTTCCGAGGACCTCAAAAAGTCGAGATCCGATAAAGATGTCGACCTTTGAAAAAAGGAAAAAACCAATAACTTCGCGATTTTTTGAAACTCATTGATATTCATAGCGGGAAGATAATAAGCAATGATGACACTTCTTGGATCTATCTACAAAAATGATTAGAAGGCGTTCCAAATTATTAAGTATTTATATTATATATTGTTGCTTTAATTCTTAGGTATAATATTGTTATCATTTAATTCGAAATTCGTCACGAAATATACTTCTCATTCGGTAGTTGTGGCAACGGTTACTTTTGGAAGTTAAAAAATCAATACGTCTCCATTTTTGAACTCCGTTGATTAATACGTTTTTGAGTGCGTGTGTGTGCTTGCCTGCGATTGTTCATGCTTCATGCGTGCATTCTTACATGCGTGTAAGTAAAGGATGAGTGCGTGTTAATTATTGTATGTGAGTTTCTGAGTGTGTATGTCCGTACGGTAATAAACTATTTCGTCTCACATAGAGCGTAAGTGACAATATCGACTCCAGAACAATTCCATTTCACGCGTAATTACACAATTTAATCTATGATATATATATATATTATAAAAACCTTGAACTTAAAAATCCGTCATCAGTCGTTTACTCCAGAAGAAGCCTTAAAGTAACAGACATTGTGCACACAAAGTGGATATAGAACTCAAATAACGTACAAGAATTATTTTTAACGTGTTTAAAAAAGTGTGTGTCGTAAGGCACACGATAGAAGTGAAACTTTTATATTGCAGGGACACATTTCAATTATTAGTCAATGGCTTTTGAATAGCATAGATTGTGTATATCATTCATTTATTTACATAAAATTAAATAAATATGTGTCACAGTGCATCATCTTCTTCGATCTTATGAAGAGAAATTATCGGTTTAGGCAACACTAGGAGTCACCACAGGGAATGAAGTAATTATTATAGATACCAGTATAACACAAAATACTCATTTAAAGTTTGTTAATTAGGTAATTATCTATTATTTATGTCATTTTTATGTAATTTTATTTTAATTAAACCAAAGTTTTATATACATAATGTCAACCAACATTTATTTTAATGAAAATTTACAAAATGTTATTTAAAACTAGCTGCTCCCCGCGACATCGCTCGCGTGTTAGGGTTTTTATTTTTTTGCGCGGAACCCTAATTCTTTTTCTAAAATAAAAGTAGCCTAAGTTATGGTGGCCACTCACGGTCAGTTAAACTGAACAGTTTAACTGACGTACATCCAAAAACTGACCGTGAATGTGAAATCTTAAGTTGAAATTTTTAACTGAAGACAACACACGGATTTTTTCGAGCGTGCTATCAGTTAAACCGCTCAGTTGTACTGACGTACATCCAAAAACTGACCGTGAATGTGACATCTTAAGTTAAAATTTTTAACTGACGGCAACCCACGTATTTTTCCAGGCGCACCGTAATCCGTTGGCTTCAGTTCGTTTCCATTATTGGTAAGTACATATTTTCTTAGTAGCTTTTATTTATATTTTATATTATTTTTATAACATTATTTGTATGCTGTTTAGATTTTATATTATTTTATATATTTAGAGAAATTGGTTTGACAGAGGATGGAGACCAAGGTGATTGTAATAAGGGTCTCAGTGATGCTACTACGTAGAACCATCGTGTTTGAACTCGTTTTCAAATAAGTAATTGGAGACCTAGATGACAGTTATGATATCATCTTTATGTTGGTGCAATCCGAAGGTGAGTATAGGATCTCAGTGATGACACTAGATAGAAGGATCGTGTTTGAACTCATTTTAAAGGGTCATAAAGACCTAGGTGACTGTTATGACCTCACCTTTCTGATGGTGCAATCCGAAGGTGGGTATAGGATCTCAGTGGCGGTATTAGATAGAACGATCGTGTTTGAACTCATGTGAAAGGAACTCATTTGACTGGCCTGTTGGTCTAGTGGTTAGTGACCCTGACTGCTACGCCGGAGGTCGTGGGTTCGATTCCCACCCAGGACAAATGTTTGTGTGATGAGCACGATCATTTGTTCTGTGTCTGGGTGTAATTTATCTATAATATTTATATATTTAGAAATATATAAGTATGTTTATCAGTTGTCTAGTACCCATAACACAAGCTCTGCTTAGCTTGGGACTAGATGGCGTTGTTTGATAGTTGTGGAATATTATTATTATTATTATATAATCCCTTTGAATAAGTTTTTCTGGAAATAGCCATACAATGGGATTTTACGAACTTAGAGGATAGTATTGATGATTATAATGATTATAATTCTGTAAATACACACTCATTACGGTCGCGAATCATATTTTTTTTTAAAGGGCTCATAAAGACTTAGGTGACTGTTATGATCTCACCTTTCTGATGGTGCAATCTGAAGGTGGGTATAGGATCTCAGTGGTGGCACTAGATAGAACTATCGTGTTTGAACTCATTTGAAAGGGCTCATAAAGACCTAGGTGACTGTTATGACCTCACCTTTCTGATGGTACAATCCGAAGGTGTACGGCACTAAGTAGAATGATCGTGTTTAAACTCATTTGAAAGGGTTTATAAAGACCTAGTTCAATGTGATTATAATACCTTCATGATGGTGAACTAAGAAGGTGGGGGTAAAAGATAAAAATAAATAATACATTTATTAAATAAATAAAATTTACCATAATGAATAAAATTATCTTAAAAGTGTCTTAGTACTGACCTTATCATAAATAAAAATATCTTTTGAAGTGTTAATATATAGGAAACGATATTTTATATATAAATGAAAAATATCATTTCCTATCTATTAACTAGCTGTTCCCCGCAACTTTGCCCGCGTGTAATTTATTACGATTGGATTTCATGGGTTTTAATGTTTTTGCGCGGAACCCTAATTCTTTTTCTAAATTAAAAAGTAGCCTAAGGTCCTCCTTATAATATCAGCTATTTGCCACTGAAAGTCTCGTCAAAATTGGTTCAGCCGATTCGGAGATTAGCCGGAACAAACAGACAGACAGACAGAAAGACAGACAAAAATTTTAAAAATTGCGTTTTTGTTATAAGTACCGTATGTACTTTCATATGTATTTAGTAAAAAACTGTTATTTTGACATTACAAACAGACACTTCAATTTTATTTATTTGTATAGATATATATTAATAGACAGGAAATGATATTAAATAAGATTTAGGTATTATTAAATATCTATAGATAAATTAAATGATATTTATTATAAACTTAAATCCTAATCCTTGATGGACCCAATCTACTATACTTTATTTACACTATATTATGTTTTTCATTTTTCCCCAGTTTATTTATTTGCTTATTATCTTAAAAAGAAATGTAATGTTGTATAGTATATCTCTGTGATATTAAAATCACTATAATCTATTAAACTTAGTACTACTTTACTCACTGTGAGGTTTGGCAGGAACTTGACCATCGACGGATGGTTGCTCCTGTTTTATAGTTTAAATAATCGTTTGAAGTGGATTTTTATCAAAGTATTTTTTTTTTATAAAGTAAAAATTATATGTATTAAGTGTCTGCGCATGTGAGCTATTAGAGAAAACGACGAAATAAGTGTTTCGATGTTGGTATAAGCATCAAGTTATTTTAATCGCTAAGGCGTCTTATGATTTACATCCGTGCTTTCAGAAATAGCTGTTAAATATTTGATTTCTTCAGCTGCATCCGTAGCATCTGAACGAATTACTTCTACAATCAATCTTTTAGTGCCCAATAATCGCAGTATTGAAACAGCTGAACATATAAAACAACGAGTATTTTTGAAAACTCTTACTGAAAAATATTGGTAAACATAATTGTCTTATTTAAATTAAAAAATAATTAAAGTTACAGCCTTATACGTCCCAATGCTGGGCACTCCTCAGCTGGGCAGGCCTCTCCTAATTTCTGAGAGGGTTTTAGGGCAACGTCCGCCGCGCTGCCCAATGCGTGTTGGCGAACTTCACGTTTTTTGAAATTTTTATTTTATTTCTCAGACATGCAGGTTTCCTCACGATGTTTTCCTTCATCGTCGAGCACATGGTAAATCAGCACTTAAAATTGCAATTAACAATTCCATTGGTGCCGGCGGGGATCGAACCCGGGTTGCTGCTCGCGTACTGTGAAATTTACAGCGAGCCCTAACCATCTGCTACCACGGCATATTAATAATTACTAAGAATTATAACCTAACATTTTCATTCATTTATAATTTAATTTGTTTAATAAATATACTAAATTATAAACTGTATAAATCATTTTTAAGCAATAAGCATCGATATATCGCTTATGTTTTCGATATATAAAACGCCGATATTGATATATTTATATTAATCGATATATTGAAAATCCGATATTTTAAAAATATCTACAGTCCTAGTTTGAACTGATCAGTTGGAGTGATCAGTTGAACTGACCGTGTGTGTGCAAATTGTTATGGATTAAATCCGTTTGAAAGGATCAGTTGAACTGATGTCAGTTTAACTGACCGTGTGTGGGGACCATTACTCCTTATGACATCAGCTATCTGCCAGTGAAAGTCCCGTCGAAAAAAAAAAGTCGAAAAACCCGGCCGTTTCGGAGATTAGCCGGAACAAACAGACAGACAGACAAAAATTTTGAAAATTGTATTTTAGTTATAAGTATCGTATTTACTTTCATATGCATTTAGTAAAAAGCTGTTATTTTGACATTACAAACAGACACTTCAATTTTATTTATTTGTGTAGATAAACGCTGCTCTCTGCCTTATTGGGCTTCAAAAATTACTTCCCTTGTTCATTTTTTTCATAGCGCCATCTACTACATTCTATAAGTAAAGTCATTTTATCGAACCAAAATTGATTAACTATCCTGCCGGTACTTAGAAAATGCAGTACTCAAATGCGATCACTCTTTCTAAAATAAATACGTGTACCTTGGTAACTGTCTTAAATAAAATTAATAGATTAGTATTTGAACGAAAGACCATTATAATCTTGTAATTGTATTACTATATACTTTATGGTATGTAATGGCCTGCGTTCGCCATTTCAATGATCGACCTGAATAATGCAGTACGTACGAGGGCGGCACTGAAAATTTCAGGAATTAAGGAAGTGACACAACATTACTATTTAAAAATGTATTTATTGCTTTTCGAAGTATTCTACGCGAAATTTGATACATTTTTCCATACGATGGAACCAATCATTGAAGCAACCACTCCATTCGGAAGTTGGGGTCTCCAAAATGGCCGTTTTGTAGGCGTCCACAGCTTCTTCAGGTGATGAAAATCTCTGTACACGCAATTTATTCTTTATTTTAGGAAAAGTATAGAAATCATTAGGGCTTAGGTCGGGGCTGTACGGCGGATGGTCTAATAATTCTATGTTTTCTTGCTCTAAAAACTCTTTTGTTCTGTGTGCGGTGTGAGAACTCGCATTGTCGTGATGGAGGATGATGCGGCGGTTGCAGTTCTCTTTACGGAGTTCAGAAACGACCTATGGCAAACAAATGCTAGCATACCAATCTGCATTAACCGTTCTTTGTCCCTCAAGAGGAATAGTCGTAACATGGCCGGTTTTGGAGACAAACGTGGCCACCATTGTTTTTGCCACACTCCGTGAACGAACATTTTTTGTTGGCTTTAACTCATTTTCGAACACCCAAACTCGTGACTGGTTTTTTGTTTCGGGTTCGTACGCGTATATCCAGGATTCGTCACCTGATACAATGTTGTATACAGCATTTGAGGATCCTGCGTGGAATCTTTCGAGAGTTCCGACGCACCAAGTAACGCGAGCCGCTTTTTGCTCTTCACAGAGCCAATGCGATATCCATCGGGAAAACAACTTTTTACACCTAATTTTTCATGCAAGATTATTTGTATTTGACTCATGCCAATGTCTAAAGTTGCCTGAATTTCGCGGTATGTCACATGTCGATCTTCATCAATCAGCTTACGCACAGCATCAACATTTTCTTGGGTGACTGCAGTTTTTGGACGACCTTGACGGGGATCATCACTGAGCTTGACACGTCCACGTTGAAATTCAGCAACCTAGCGATTAATTGTGGTTTTGGATGGGGCTTCATCACCAAATGCAGAAATCATCCGGTCAACACGCTGTTTTTGTTTTAAACCACTTCGAAAGTGATACTAAATCATCGCTCTTGAATTTTCTCGAGTCAATTCCATTTTCTCAACGACTAAACAAGTTTGATAAAAACTTGTGGCAAGACCGAGAATCTTTTTTTAAATAAATAAATGGTATTCAATTTTTAAAACCAAGGGGTTTTCAATTAAAAAGATTTTAATATGACAGGAACAGTGGAAATATTATATTCCTGATACTTTTAGTGGAGCCCTCGTAGTTTTACCCCCTACCACTTTTCGTCACACAAAAAGGTTGCGGATCAGAATTTCAAAGCCCTCCCGTAAAAAGTTTCACTTCAAAACAGGATCAATATTCAATATGCAAAACTTGTTAGGTATCTGTCACAAAAAAGAGGTTTCACGTTTTTTGTAGAAATTACACTAATGTATTTTTATAAATTGAAATTTTTCAAAATCGAAATAGTAGAATTGTAAAAAAATTACGACGTAATAACAAATGTTTTTCGTATAGGTTTGGAATATTAAGAAGCCGTTAATCGTATGAATCTGAAACCGTCACGTAGCCACCACAATATCATACGTAAACGTGGTCGTTATCTATTGTTTGACGTTTTTTCTATAGCTCAACTATCTTCTTTACAGCTAATAAAACCAACTGCTATTGTAATTCCCCATGTTGTAAAACTGTCATATTAAATATTCTTTAAAGTAGGTTTTCTCGATTAAGAATTAAAATGCCACTCTAAGCGGAATATTACGATATTTGTAAAAAGACTCCAGCTATCGTCACTCGCCAATAATACCAATATTGAAAAAAAATCTGGATGTTAGAAAGAAGCCTTTTTAAAAGTGAAGTCCTCTAATAAATTTATAAATTTTTGTTTTTAATATTATTTGAGTGATAAAGGAGTTATCGGAAGTCCCTCGGTTCATAAAATGCAGAAATCCTCTACCTTTTTAAAATTATCGTTATCTTCGTAAAATTATTAACAGTTTATAATGTTAGTAAAATTATCAATCATCTATACACATATAAAATTGAAGTGTCGATCTGTAATATTAAAATAACCAGCTCTTTTAAGCTCGGAGGATATTTGCATGCTATTAAGTTATTTGCAGGCTATAAAAATATGAATAACCATTTTTTTAAATTCGAAATGGGAGAACCGATGGTGAAGAGAGCAATTATTCCAAGCTAAATTTTATCCAAAAAATATGTAAGTTTTTTTTTGTTAAATTGATAAAATAAATGGTTCTCGGTGATTATCCCATAAATTTTAAGAGATATAGAAAAAAATGTCGGACAAAAAATGTTTGGTTTGCAATTTTACAGAAAAATATTTTTGTTTTACTTCAATACCATTTTACAACAAAACTATGAATGTTAAGTATAAAGTGATAAGACCTTTTTTACTCGTATATAAAATTAATAGATCTTAAATATTTATTTTTACTTTTTACCCATATCCTATAGCTCTCGAAATAATAGCAAAAAAAAAATTGAGTTTAAAGTAGGTTTTTGATAATTTAACTACTTGCTCAAATACCACCATTATAGATCTACAAGTGTTCTATGCGACAAAGTCGCGGGTAAACGATAGTTATGATATAATTATATAGTTTTTATTGGTGTTGCTGTATGAGGCATACATAATTCGATACACATAAAAGCGGTAAGGTAATTTGAGATCTATTGCAAGGCAATCACCGCAAGAATAAGATATATATTCTTTATTTAAACTGACCTTTCTCAGAGCTACAACTTTCTGCAGCCTCTCATTAAGACCGGCTTGAAGAGCTCCATTCCTTAATCGGAGCAGTGGCGTCTCTTTGGTAAAAGTGGTGTCTCTTTGTGTTTGTTCGCGGCCATCTTTTGCCGTGGATAAGTCGGCGTCCACTGGCGCCGAGATGTCCCCGCGATCAGGGTACATCGGTTCAGGAGAAATGTAGCCGACACCTGACAAAAAGTAAAGGATATTTATTTATATATGCCAAACGGACGTCCAAGTGAACTTGAATATTTAGCCGTATAAAATTCAAATGCTATAAGCAAACACTTGTAATTTCTGAATCATTATTTTAATTGTTAAATGTTCGTGCCAACTTCAACCAAACTTTTATAATATCTAAGAATAAGGACGAGTAAAAGATTTTATTTTACTTTATTTTATATAGAAACAGTTATACAGTTTTTAAAAACATACTCGTAATCGTAATGTCCGGAACCATGGGATCGATTTTAACATTATAATTGTTTGAAAATTGCAACTAAATTATATTTAACTAAAAACAAGAATGATTACTGTGCGAGATGTACAATCCTACAATCTTAAATAAATGTATAGATGTGAAAGTTTGTGAGTATGTATGGATGTTTGTTACTCTTTCACGCAAAAACTATAGAATGGATTTTAATGAAACTTTACAATAATATAGCTTATACATCACAATAACATATTATAAGCTATAATTCATAAAAATATTGTGTAAATTGGCGAAAATATCTGTCATCTGCGAGCTATTTTGGCGTGAACACGCATCAAGCAAAAACATATAAAATATAAATATAATAAAAAATGATATAATATAAATAATATAAAAAAACAATTTTTGTTTGTTCGTATTTTATTCTCTGCCATACCGTTTAACAGATTGCGCTAAAACTGTCAACTTATTGCTTGCACTTGCGCGAAGGTTATAGGTATAGTATAATTATATTGTATTGCTTCCTTCCTATGGGCTTCCCGAGAAATTGTGCAAATGGATCACCAGTTTTCTTGCTGATCGGAGCATCAAGGTCGTAGTAGACGGTGCATGCTCTGATTTCAAGCCTATCAACGCTGGTGTTCCACAAGGCTGCGTGCTATCACCAACGCTGTTTCTCCTGCATATCAATGATATGTTGCTAACTGGTAGCATTCATTGCTATGCAGACGACAGCACTGGTGACGCCTTATATACCGGCCGTGCCAATATTTCTCGGGAAAACGTCGCTGAGTACCGGAACAAACTTGTGTCTGAAGTCGAGTCTTTGCTTAACAAAGTCTCGGATTGGGGCAGACTAAATCTAGTCCAGTTCAACCCCCAGAAGACACAAGTTTGCTCGTTTACCGCTAAAAAGAACCCCTTTGTCGTATCTCCTCAGTTTCAAGGCACTCCCCTTGCTGCCTCAGCTAATATCGGAATCCTTGGCGTCGACATATCGAATAGTGTGCAGTTTCGTGGTCACTTGGAAGGGAAGGCCAAATTGGCCTCTAAAAAGCTTGGCGTGCTCAGCAGAGCGAGACAGTATTTCATGCCGGCACATCGCTTGCAACTTTACAAAGCGCAAGTTCGGCCCCACATGGAATACTGTTCTCATCTCTGGGCCGGGGCACCTCAGTGCCAGCTCCTTCCACTTGACCGCATCCAGCGCAGAGCGGTTCGAATCGTCGACGACCGAGTTCTTTCTGATCGGCTCGATACACTGGCACTGCGTAGAGATGTTGCATCTCTTTGCGTATTTTATCGCATCTATCACGGGGAGTGCTCTGAGGAATTGTTCGGACTAATTCCAGCCGCTCAATTTTACCATCGCACATCGCGACAAAACTCGCGTTACGGATGGTATGGATATACCATCTCGATGATTGGCGGTCCACTACTGTGCGATTTAGAAGAAGTTTTCTCCATCGCACAACTTCCTTGTGGAATCAATTACCACCAGCGAATTTTCCGGACCGATACGACTTAAGGAGCTTCAAGAAAAGAGCTTACACCTTTCTAAAAGGCCGGCAACGCATCTGCAATTCCCCTGGTGTTGCGGTTGTTCATGGGCGGCGGTAGTCACTTACCATCAGATGAGCAGCATGCTCGTTTGCCCCCTCTTCTATAAAAAAAAATTAACTTACCGACTAATTTATTTGAAAATGATATATCAATTAATTCCTATGAATGTAGTATATATCATTCCTAATTAAACTATATAACTCTTCCAAATTTAAAACAATATTTTCACAATTATTTCTTCTGTGGTAGCAACGCGCAAATATACAGATTATAGACATGGAGTGCCGAATTTTGTATTTTGGTTTATATAAAAGGGACGTTCTTTTTTATCGTTTTGTATATTTACATCACCATCATTGCAGCCTACAACAAATCCGAGGCCTCTTTCATACCTGACCTGGTCCTGAGACTCATCGACCACCTGTATGTTATATCATGTCGTCATTTATCTAGTGTTCCGTTAGCCAGTACGACACTGCCACTCGAAATCTTTTCATTCCCATCATTCCAAGATATGGTCTTTATTTTTGATTTAAAATGTTGCCAAAAGTTTTCAGATTTCAAATGGCATTGATGAATAAAGGCCATTTTAGTCACTTTGAAATATGAAGTAAGAAGTGGTCGCGCATTGACGGTTATTACGGAAGAAAACGTGCTAGAAATGAATAATTTAATTGAACAGAAAAGGCGAAATACGTAAAAAAGGATTCACCACATATTGCAAATTGGATCGGAAAGCGTTCACAAGATTTTACAGGTACACCTTCGCGTGAGGAGTACAGTTTCCTGTTGGGTGCCGCTTCACCTCACCGATGCTAAGGAGCAAGCCCGCTTGAAATAATGCCTAATAATGAATAATATTGAAGTAAAGAAGTGACAGTCGTCGGTTTGGCTGTTTTGAAATGAACCAACGCCTATCAAAGTAAAACGTTCGAGAGGTGCTGAGGAGATTTTGATTGCTAGTTTTTTCACTGGTATTCACTGGTGTCAATTTCTTAACGAAATCGATATAGTAACAACGCAGAATGGTATGCCACCCAATGTTTGCCGTGAAGTGATCACTGCTGATAGCAACAAGCGAGGCTTCGCAGGTTACTGCTTCACCATGATAATATTACCGCATACTCATCACACGTTCAGTCTTTGGGTCGCACTTCTTACAGTCTGTGTTATTACCTAAAATAAAATCATCAGAAAGTGATAACAGTTTTTAGCGCTGGAAAATGCGCTAGTTATCGTTCGAGTAGGCCGTAAGAGATGTGTCGGAGACGGACTGGAAAGTGTTTCAAAAATTGGTTCAGACGCATATAAATTTCTATAGATGCTGGTGAACTTTAACCATATTTTTTTTCCGTTACACGAAACTTTCTCAGTCGTCCACATATATATATTATATTTCTAATTGATTGTAGAATCTTCAATTAATTATTTTGTAATATGTTTGCCACTTTTGCAACCTATATCAGGTTGATTGTCAGGTATTCGGCTTGTGATTGATGTAAATGCAGGTGTCAATGATAATGCATCAACGCGTGGATGTAACATATGACTAATTTTTATAACAGTTGATGGGTTTACAAGTAACATTGATGAAATTTAATATAACTTAGTGAGTTTTATTAAAAAGCAGTTCTGGTGGTAGATCCCAAATACACAGAGAAATCCTAACAATTTTTTTGGACACAAATCCAATGACTGCCAAACTATTTTTTTGATTCTAAAATGTTTAATAATTTGGCAAATTATCACTGCCTCCTCGTATGTATGACGCTGTCTACCATAATTCTGATCGGAAAACAGTAGCCAAGACAGTTCAATCCATCATTCAATTATATATTTATCTGTATATTTATATCTCTACACCGCACCGTACAACATATAATCTTGCGCACGTGTGTTGACCTAAAGAATATTATGTGGCAAATATGATAGTGTACGTCGCCACGTTTACAAAATCATAAAAGTTAAGTACATACTAACCTATATTAAGGTTTTGATGATCTTTTGTTGTTTTCTTTTGTAATATTTGTATTATTGATTGTGAACGGTTGGTAAACATTGTTAATATTAGGGATAACGAGTTCGTAGTTTTCCGTATCGCTACAACCGGGAGCCGTATTTTTCAAACGACATTAAAATGTTGCCTCCTGGTGTGTCGACAGGGCACCAAAAGGATTTTTGTTCCTTTTTCATCGACAACGGTAAAAATCAATTTCCTACCACCATTACACGAAAACAATCGTGATTCGTACTCATAGAGCTACAATTATGATCAATGGACAGTAATTGTTTATTTGTTAATATAATATCCGTCTATTTAAGAAAAGAACTTTAATATAAACAGAACGCACGAGTAGTTAGGATCCCATTGTGTGACGATCATTAACAATAATATTGTTTGTATACATCCATTGTTCTCGACTACTGGCAACGCACTCTAGCGGACCACTCCTTTAATACAGTACTATCGTGATATATTATGAATTGCATCTCTTGACTGCCGCGCTGATCTAGTCGTCTAAATTTTAAACGCAAATGAAATTTTTTTTTTGTATCACCTACAAGCCTATATGTACTTTTAAAACCCTAATGTTTGTGTTGTACACAAGCATTAGGGTTTTAAAAGTACCCTAGTTTATATAAATGCGTTAAATATCCTTAAAAAATAATTTCATGCAATGTGTGAGAGTCATAGTAATAGAATAGAATAGAATAGAATGATTTTTATTCAATATGGATTATTACATAATACTTATTGAAAGTCATTATTTTATTTACGACTGGTTCGGAAAATACCTCTGTCCTGGGAAGAACCAGCAAGAAACCCAGCGGGACTTTTTTTTTTAAACATAATTTCACTTAACAATAATTTTGTTTATACAATTTTAAATGAATTTTCATAGAACCAGCATGGTGGCGATCACCTTATTCCCAGGGGTTATTTTCATTCATGTATTCCTTGATATTATAATAACCCTTTTTGTACAGTTTTTCTTTAATAAAACTTTTAAACTTGTTTATTGACAAACTTTGAACATGTTCTGGGATTCTGTTGTAAAAGCGTATACATTGCCCCATAAATGAATTACTAATTCTGTGGAGTCTTGTAAGTGGCATTACAAGCTTATGTTTGTTCCTAGTGTTTAAGGTATGAACATCCTTATTCTTATTAAAGCTATTTATGTTTTT